GAAAGAAAGAAAGAAAGAAAGAAAGAAAGAAAGAAAGAAAGAAAGAAGAACCAAGGAATATTCTTTCCTAAAGTTAAAAATTAAAAATTCTGGGGATAAAACAGCCCACAGCTTTGGTCTAATCTAATCACTTTCTGGGTTTGGTCCTGTATTTGTGTTAGCCCAGAGCAGAGACACAACTTCATGTTATCACCCTCAGCGTCCTGAGGGGTTCACTTGGTCCAGCAGGCACCTTAACTAAGACCAAAGTGGGAATGTGAGGCTTCATTGCAGAAGGGAATTTCAGAAGTATCCAATATGAAGCAGATTTTCAGATTTTATTAAAGATACTTTTATATAGGCTTTAAGCATGAGGATTGGGAGAAAAAGAGGCACTCGCAAAGACATATGCATACACACATATGGGCTCTTCAAGGGAGAGTTGACAGAGGAGACAGGGAGAGAGAGAAGCTAGGAGGAAAAGGCAATGGGGAGATAGGCGAAGAGTAGGAGGGGAGGGAATGGGTGGCGAATTTGATCAAAACACATTATATGCACGTGTGATAGTCTCAAATATAAAAGATTTCATTTAGAAAGAGTAGGGTAAAGGTTGCCAAGAAATTTTTTTTCTTTCTTTTCTCTCTTTTCATAAGTAAGATGGCTGGGTGGTTCCAGCGATGTCTTGGATGGAATTATAATCTAATAAGGTAGAAGTGTGAGTCACTCCAGTTGCACATGGGGTTTAGGGCATGTTTCTCCCCCTCCCCCCAGTAAATGGGGTTCCTGGTGAGATTCCTAGAAAATTGCAGGTTTGTAGCTGGGAAGGAAGAAAGGCCTTGAGAATTTGCTAATTGTTCTGAAAGTCTTGCTTCTCTGCCAGTGAGAGGCTTCAGCTGAATTTTTTTTTTTTCGAGACTTATATTGCTGGCTGGTGGTGGTGCACACCTTTAATCCCAGCCTTTGGGAGACAGAGGGAAGCAGATCTCTAAGTTCCAGAGTAGCCAGGGCTACCAAAGAAACCTTGTCTCAAAAATAAAACAAAAATAAAACCTTCTATTTTTAAATTTTACATGTAGTGTACGTGAGCCTGTGTTGAGTATATGTACCGCCACGTGCCCACAGAAGCCCATGGAGGCCAGGTGAGGGGAGTTAGAGCTCCTGGAACCAGAGTTACAGGAGACTGTGAGCTGCCATGTGGGGGCTGGGATCCAAACTCCATCACTGTTCAAGAGCAGTCAGTGTCTTTAACCACTGCACCGTCTATCCAGCCTCCCCTCCCTTTCATGCTGACAGTTCCCCTGTCGTTCTATCCTGTCTCAAGTTAATTTCTCTGAACCTCAAATTCCTACACTTATTCACTTTGTGTGTATATGTATATATGCATGTTCATGTGTGTGCTTGCTTATGTGTGCATGTAGATGGGCACATGTGTACACGTATGTGGGTACGGGCATGTGGGGTATGTGTTTATGTGTGTTATGTGCAGGCCAGAAATTGACAGCAGGTACCTTCCTCCATCATTCAATCGTTCCCCATTTTATTAAGAAGTTTTGAATTACTTGTTGTTGTTTTGGTTTGGTTTCTCTGGAACTCAGTCTGTAAACCAGGCTGGCCTCTAACTCAGAGATCCAACGGCCTCGGCTTCCGCAGTGTTGGGATTAAAGGAATGTGCCACCACTGCCCTGCTAAATCACATTATTTATTTATTTATTTATTTATTTATCTATTTATCTATCTATCTATCTATCTATTTATTTATTTATTTATTTGTGTTGGGGGG